GGGGGGGGGGGGAGGCATGGGGAAGGTGGTGGTTATTTTGCAGTAGGGATACTCAATGGAAGCGGTGGGTAGAGGTGTGCTGCTGAGCCTTTAAACCTTGACTCTGGTTAAGACAATAATCATTCATTTCGCTACCTGTTTAACAACAAGAGACATTATTTTACGAACACGATTCATTTTGTTTTTCACAGAATTAAGTATATTTTAAACTAATATCATGGAATTAGATTGTTTCGGACAAATGTAGACCTTTTTTGCCAACCTTCACAATCTTTAAAACACTTCTGGTCCAAAAAGTCATCTTGTTCAGTGGCACATAGCAGTTTAGGCTGTACTATTCCCTGGGGAATACATGTTCTAGTATTGGGAGGCTAGAACTAATTGATGCAAAATATGTGCATAATACGTGTCTAAAAATAATTATGTATACATGCGTCTGGCTGTATGGCTACATGCATCTGATGTAACACATACATTGAGACATACGGTCTGCTTGAAATGTGCCAGTAAACCTTTAGACTCATAGGTACAATGTGTGTGTTAGTATAAAAAACAATGATTGGATGAGGTTGAGTATGATCCTAAAAATAATATAATGGAGTTCGAGGAAGGTGTTCATTGGCTTTGGTAATTAGTTTAAAAACGAGCATGCCTGCCACAATCGATGTCTTTAAAGTTGTATTCTTCATTTGTCTGTCTCATGACAAGTTGAGATGGTATTTAAAAGGGATGCTTAGTCATGCAGATACAACTGTATTTTCCAAATAGCAGAAGTCATCTGTCAAATTGTAGTCTTGCTGTTCTTGCCAAGATTTTAGGCAGTAGTTTGATTATTTCTTCTTGGTGAAACATCTGAAATGTTCTGCCATTTTGTAACGCTCTATGGTCCTCTATCTTTTCCCAGGGCTTCTCAGTTTTTAGACCATTTTTCTGGTGATTATGTTGTACTATTGATGTCATTTTCTACATAATATTTTTGTAAACTTCTTCCAAATTTGGTCAATGCTACATGTAGCTGGTTATGAAGAATTAGCTGTGGGATTTAAGCCAATCAAAAGTGGAGAGTATTTTGAATGAATGTACGTATGGCCCGCAAGCACCTAACTGCCAGATCAGAATAATAATTACAGGGTTGTCAAAAATGACTTTTAGAGCGAATGAAAAATATTGGTATGGCGTCTGAAAAACTATAATTATCAAAACACCTTGAAGAGTTCCGGGTTCTGATTTTACAATATAACGAGTCACTGAGGGCACCCTGGAAAAGGTGTGCAAAAATCGAACCAAAATCGAAACGTGGAAGCAAAGAATCGTGAATAGAATCAAAGGTCATAATCGCGACTAATTGAGAATCAGATTAATCATTACACCACTAGTGGATAGTGAGTAGAAATACGATTGCTTAGGATACTAGTTGAATATTTCTGCATAACTGACAAGTGAAAACAGCCGTAGTTCACCATCAATCAGTGTAGCATGAGTGGCAGGCATTTGAATGGGAAAGGAAAAGGAGATATCGGGTGCGGAGGAATGTACACACGGGAGAAGGGAAGGGAGAGGAACACCTGCAGCGGGGGTGGCGGGGGTGGTAAGCAACAAGATCTAGGAACCAAAAGTCACTTCTTCCAGAGCTGTCATTAAGAGGTGGGGCCGGGGTTTTTCCCCAGATGAAACAGAAGAAAAATGTACCCAAAAGAAATCCTTAGTTGTCTGATTCCCCGCCTACTTAATTTTACCCGGAAACCTGAAATCTTAGTGACGTCCCTGTACTTCCCCAATAAAAAGCAGTTTACTAATAATACTGCTAGCTGCTTTTCATTAGCAAAAATGCAAAATAATTTATAACTAGAAGTAATCAGGGATTAATAAGTGCGTTTGAACATTGGTCATTGGTCGATAACACATGCCATATTCACTTCTCTGTAGATAGAATAATGCACTTTCTGTATGCAACAGAAGCTGTAGACAAGTTCTTGATGAATGTGTTAGACCTATTCAAAAAATGTTGCATTTACTGTGGAGGCTATGATGTATTTGCGGTAGTTGAACCAACCTAAAATTGAGATCCTTTCTGCTAAATGCTCGTGCCCAGCGTTCAGTTTAGTTTGTGTTCTCCTAATGTCGAAAGCAATAATAATAACATATCAAACTGAACAGTCACCATTTCCACAATAATGGAGGCGTTGCTGCATATTGCAAAGTTTACAGAATGTGTCACTGAAGTAACAGATTCTTGAACCAAACATCAAGGAGCTCATTTATGGTAGACATAATATGTGTAATTTGAAGTTATAGATTATCTAATTTGTATAGAAACCTGGTCTTATTGAACAGAATTTTACATGGCTTTGTTATTTTAATTCCCTCAACAGCTGTCGGATGTTTCAGCAAACAGTTCTTTGTAACACCACAAGTCAATCAATGAGAAGAGAAAAAGGCAAAGATAACAAGTAAGTTATTCATTCAGGGTTTGTAGAGGTCATGGAAAACCTGGAAAGTCATGGAATTTAAAAATTTTATTTTCCAGGCCTGGAAAGTCATGGAATTTAAAATGTCAGTCCTTAAAATTAAAAGTCATGGAAAATGAAAGTTTTGTTTGGTAATTTAGTTACTACAGATGACAAAGCGAGGACAATGTAAGATAGAGAGGAGTAATATTATTAAACAGTGCAAACAGCACCCATTTTGGTGGATCCCAGAGTTTGTGTCTGTTGAACATTTTTGAAAGTGACAACTAACCCTAAGGTCTTGGAAAACTTGAAAAGGTCATGTATACTGCTAACTATTCAACTAACCATTTTGACTGACTGACTGAGCAACTTGCAGCACCAAGACACTGACTAATTGAGCAACTGACTGACTGTGCAATTTGGTACCTGACCGGCTGACAAAATGACTGAATAAGCACCTGGCTGACTGAATGACTGTGCAGTTGGGCACCTGCCTGGCTGACAGAATGACTGAGTGAGCAACTGACTGACTGACTGTGTGGTTGGGTACCTGACTGACTGACAGAATGACTGATTGAGCAACTAACTGACTGACTGACTGACTGACTGACTGACTGACTGGCTGACAGTGCAATTGGGTATCTGACTAGCTGACAGAATGACTTATTGAACAACTGGCTGACTGACTGACTGTGCAGTTGGTATTTTGGTGGATCCCAGAGTTTGTGTCTGTTGAACATTTTTGAAAGTGACAACTAACCCTAAGGTCTTGGAAAACTTGAAAAGGTCATTGAAAAAGTCATGGAAAGTCATGGAATTTTAAGAGCTCAAAAGAGTACAAACCCTTTTCATTCCACATTAGGGATATTGTTGAAATTACACAGCTCCTATGTTGAACTCTCTGCAAGCTGTACATCCTTGCAGCAAATTTTCTATGTTCTCTCTACCTGCTGGGAATAAGTCCACCTAGCTGTTATCATTTGTTTGTGTAAAACCACCAACCTTCATTTTGATTAGACTGCAAAAACAGTCCGTATTTTTGCGTATTCAAGTACGTGCAAGCAGTCAAACAAAAGGTCTGGAATGAGGCTGAAAACAGAGAGAGAGACTAGGGAGAGACACTAAAAATTTTTTCTCTCACCCAACACGCCCTATGGGCATATGAGGCTAGCGTGCTTCGCGCTCGTAAGACTCTTACACCATGCTTTACCGATTTCTTTACTGATTTTGAGAAAACAACCGACTGTTTTGCAGTCTACATTTTGATTGTCTGACTGCTTCATTTTCTCTCATATGGAGGGAGTTTAGTGTACATAAAAATATTATTGTTCCTTAGCATGTCAATCATTGACTGATTATGGCTGGTTGATCGTATGACTAGCTAACTCCACTGTCTGGAGACTGACCAACTAACTGAATGATTTATGACTGGTTGATTGGCTGACTAGCTGACTCTACTGTCCAGGGACTGACCAACTGACTGAATGATTTATGGCTGCTTGATTGACTGAATACTTGACTCTACTATCCAGAGACTTACCAACTGACTGAATGATTTATTGCTGGTTGATTGACTAACTGGCTGATTCTACTGTACTGGTACTGACCAACTGACCAAATGATTTATGGCTGGTTGATTGACTGAATAATTGACTCTAATGTCTGTCAACTAACTGACTAACTGAATGATTTATCACTGGTTGATTGACTGACTGACTCTTCTGTCCAGGGACTTACCAATGATTAAATGATATGATTAACTCGTTGATTGACTGAATAACTGACCCCACTGTCTGGGGACTGACTAATTGACTGAATTATTTATGGTTGATTCATTGACTGACTAACTGACTCTATTGTCTAAAATACTGAGTACTAAAATTCTGTGTGACTGACTCTACTGTCCAAGGGCTGACCAACACACTAAATGATTTACAAGTGTATCTCTGGCTGATTGACTGAATATCTGACTCTACTGTCCAACTGACTGAGTGATTTGTTGCTGAATAATTGACTTAAATTGATTGACTAAATGGCTTACTGGGTAAGACATTGACTCACTAAAATATAGTACTGTTCAAAAGTAAGTTGACACTCAATTCTCAATCCTCACGAGAATTGATTCTTGATTGTTGTTTCTCAATTCTCAATTCTCAATTCCTGCGTGACTCATCAAACCAGAATGGCCTTTGTTTATAAGCGATTATAAAGGGTTTTGTTTCAAGTAATTTGCTCTCTACTCTTGATACTCGATTGTGGCGAGAATCTAACAACCTTCATTCAAGTTTTGAGCAATCTTCTACATGTAACTTCTCTCATGTCAAAAAAATGTTCCTACTCTATAACGTCTGTTCTGAAAATAACTGGTGAGCTTCATTGAATATTTTAAACTTTTGTTCCAGATTACATGCCACAGAAAGACTGGACAAGGACCTTCATGAGCCAAGAGCCTCTGTTATCTTCAGTAATGTAAGTGCTGTATGTTTTGTGTTCTAATCCAGCTCTTAAGTAAAGCAGATAAAGAGAACTGTTTAGTTTAAGGTTTCATAAAGAGACTGACTGATCAACTGTTTTTCTTAAAAATTTGTTTAGTATACTTCTAACTATTCAACTAACCATTTTGACTGACTAACTGAGCAACTTACACTACCTAGACACTGAATAATTGAGCAACTGACTGACTGTGCAATTTGGTACCTGACCTGCTGACAAAATGACTGAATAAGCATACCTGCCTGGCTGACAGAATGACTGATTGAGCAACTGACTGACTGACTGTGTGCTTGGGTACCTGACTGACTGACTGACTGACAGAATGACTGATTGAGCAATTGACTGACTGACTGTGCAGTTGGGCACCTGACTGGCTTACAGAATAACTGACTGACTGAAGTTTCATTTCACCCTAACAATAATATTTAACAAACATATACGATGTAATTGGGCACATCCCTAAGCTTATGGCAAGATGGTTAATGGTGTTTTTAAAGAGACCTTCAGTTTTTGCCAGGGTCATTATTAAAGGAAATTGTGTTAATGGAGGAGCTGGTTATGGTTTAGAAGTGCTTTGTGAATATCATTTTGAAGGGGACAATTTTTCATGCAATTGGTTAAAAGAGAACCTAGTTAAAGATCAATTTGATGTTCAATGTTGACACTACAGTTAAAAATAACCGCACACCACTTTTCAGACAGTTGATTTCGAGACATTTGTGGAAACAAGTTACACTTGTGATTTTAACTTTGCTGTACTTGACTCCCAGAATTTATTTTTTGTAAGCAAAGTGACGGTTTAATACAGGTGAAAACAATGAAATCAGCACTTTGGGACCTTAGAAAGGGTGACCGCATCGCATCCGCTTAATAGAGGTGACCGTTTAATGGAGGTCGAGTTAACAGCAAATAAGGGAAGTGATTTCTGGGACTTTGACAGGTGACCGCTTAATACAGGTTTGACTGTATGTGACTGACTCTACTGTCCAAAGACTCACCAACACACTAAATGATTTACAAATGTATTTTCTGGCTGATTGACTGAATAACTGACTGTACTGTCCCATGACATGACTAACTGACTGAATAATTTATGGCTGGTTGATCGTGAGACTAGCTAACTCTTCTGTCCGGGGACTAACCAACTAACTGAATGATTTATGGCTGTTGATTGGCTAAGTACATGTTGCTGACTCAACTGTCCCAGGATTGACTAACTGAGTGAATGATTTATGGCTGGCTGATTGGCTGACTAGCTGACACTACTGTCCAAGGACTGATCAACTGACTGAATGATTTATGGCTGGTTGATTGACTGACTAACAATCGCATACAATGTACTCTACTGTCCAGGGACTGACCAAATGATTAAATTATTTAATTTGCTGGGTGATTAACTAAATAAATGACTCTGCCATCCGGGGACTAACCAATTGATGGTGTGATTTATGGCTGATTGATTCACTTACTAACTGACTCTACTGTCCAGGGACATACTAAAATAATTAATGATTGAATGATTTAATTAACTGGTTGAGTGACTGAATGACTGACTCTGACTTTGTTTATAATCGATTATAAAGGGTTTTGTTTCAAGTAATTTGCTCTCTACTCTCGATACTTGATTGTGGCAAGAATCTAACAACCTTCGTTCAAGTTTTGAGCAATCTTCTACATGTGACTTCTCTCATGTCAAAAAATCTTTGTACTCTATAATGTCTCTTCTGAAAATAACTGATGAGCTTCATTGAATATTTTAAACTTTTGTTTCCATTTCAGATGCCACAGAAAGACTGGACAAGGACCTTCATGTGCCAAGAGCCTCTGTTATCTTCAGTCATGTAAGTGCTGTATGTTTTGTGTTTTAATCCAGCTCTTAAGTAAAGCAGATAAACAAAACTGTTTGGTTTAAAGTTTCATAAAGAGACTGACTGATCAACTGGTTTTTTTGAAAAATTTGCTTAGTATACTTCTAACTATTCAACTAACCATTTTGACTGACTGACTGAGCAACTTGCAGCACCAAGACACTGACTAATTGAGCAACTGACTGACTGTGCAATTTGGTACCTGACTGGCTGACAAAATGACTGAATAAGCACCTGGCTGACTGAATGACTGTGCAGTTGGGCACCTGCCTGGCTGACAGAATGACTGAGTGAGCAACTGACTGACTGACTGTGTGGTTGGGTACCTGACTGACTGACAGAATGACTGATTGAGCAACTAACTGACTGACTGACTGACTGACTGGCTGACAGTGCAATTGGGTATCTGACTAGCTGACAGAATGACTTATTGAACAACTGGCTGACTGACTGACTGTGCAGTTGGGTACCTGACTAGCTGACAGAATGACTGACTGAGCAACTGACTGACTGACTGTGCGGTTGGGTACCTGACTGACTGACAGAATGACTGATTGAACAACTGACTAACTGACTGACTGACTGACTGACAGTGCAATTGGGTACCTGACTTGCTGACAGAATGACTAATTGAACAACTGACTGACTGACTGGCTAAACTGTGCAGTTGGGTACCTGACTGGCTGACAAAATGACTGATTGAGCAATTGACTGACTGACTGTGCGGTTGGGTACCTGACTGACTGACAGAATGACTGATTGAACAACTGACTAACTGACTGACTGACTGACTGACAGTGCAATTGGGTACCTAACTAGCTGACAGAATGACTAATTGAACAACTGACTGAGTGACTGACTGTGCAGTTGGGTACCTGATGGGCTGACAGAATGGCTGATTGAGCAACTAACTGACTGACTGACTGACTGACAGTGCAATTGGGTATCTGACTAGCTGACAGAATGACTTATTGAACAACTGGCTGACTGACTGACTGTGCAGTTTGGTACCTGACTGGCTGACAGAATGACTGACTGAGAAACTGACTGACTGACTGACTCACTAACTGTGCAATTGGGTTCTTGACCAGCTGACAGAATGAGTGATTGAGCAACTGACCGACTGACTGATTCACTGTGAAATTGGGTACCTGACTGGCTGACAGAATGACTAATTAGCAACTGACTGAACGACTGACTGACTGTGCAATTGCGTTCTTGACCTGCTGACAGAATGACTGATTGAGTAACTGACTGACTGACTGACTGTGCAGTTTGGTACTTGACTGGCAAACAGATTGACTGATTAGGTAACTGACTGACTGACTGACTGACTGACTGACTGACTGTACGCTTGGGTACTTGACTGGCATACAGATTGACTGATTGAGTAACTGACTGACTGACTGTGCAGTTGGGTACTTGACTGGCATACAGATTGACTGATTGAGTAACTGACTGACTGACTGACTGACTGACTGTGCAGTTGGGTACTTGACTGGCTGTCAGAATGACTGATTGAGCAACTGAGCAACTGAGCAACTTACAGCACCAAGACACTGACTAGTTGAGCAGCTGACTGACTGTGCAATTTGGTACCTGACCGGCTGACAAAATACTGAATAAGTAACTGACTGACTGTGCAGTTGGGTACTTGAGTGACTAATTGAGCAACTGACTGACTGTGCTATTTGGTACCTGACCAGCGGACAAAATGACTGAATAAGCAACTGACTGACTGGTTACTTGACTGGCTGTCAGAATGACTGATTGAGCAACTGACTAACTGACTGACTGACTGTGCAGTTGGTTACCTGACTGGCTGACAGAATGACTGATCGAGCAACTGACTGAATGACTGACTACGTGTAACTAAATAACTTACCAAGTGACTGACTGACTGACTGAGCAACTGACTTAAGGACTGACTGGGTCTGCAAAGCAGGGGTCAATTAAATAAAACTTTTACAAGTGTAATTAACAAGTGTATCCATTGTTTAGAGTCTGTATTAATCACACCCTGAACAAATGAGCTGCTTTACGCCATTCCAGTGAACTTCAATTTTCTGTTTTCCCATACAGAGGTTTCTGATAACAACATTAATGAAATCAAAAGAAAGCTATACATAATCAAACCAAAATAATAATTAATTCAAAACAAAGAAATGTACACAGAGAAAAACCTAAAGGAATTATTCAAAACACACACACCTGACAGTGAAGGTGTTATCCAAACAATGAAGGACAATGCATAAAGTATGGCAATGGTACATGAGCGATCCTCGAATAATGGTCACAAACGTTACACTAAATGGCAGGAAAAGTGACCTGGAATTTAAATTAAGCCCGAAAAACCACTGGTCCTAAATCAGTGGAAACACTTTGAAAATTGCCACAGCTGTACACTTGTAAAATTATATTTGTAAAAGTTCTATAAAATTGAAGTGTTATTTGCTAGTACAGTCAACGGGTGGGTGTTAATTTATTTTAATAATATGTGGTAAATTATTCGGAAATGGTTTCTCTCTGGTATTCATGAAAATGTGATGCAGTCAAACCTTTTTTAATATGGGTACTAAGGAGGGCATAGAATGTGTGTGTATTAACGGGATGTCTAGATTAAGCAGCTTCAATTTAGCGAGTGCTTTCTTTCCTGAGGGACAAAGTAAAGTGTCCATAATTATAAGGTTTCTGTATTAAGTGGGGGTCCATAAAGCAAGGTTTGAATGTTAATGGGCAATTGCTCTGTTCTGAAAATATCTGATGAGCTTTATTGAATATTTTAAACTTTTGTTTCCAGATCAGATGTCACAGAAAGGCTGGACAAGGACTTTCACGAGCAAAGAGCCTCTGTTATCTTCAGTACTGTATGTGCTCTATGTTTTGCTTTGTAATCCAGCTCTTGAGTGAACCAGATTGTGGGCCAGGTGTTTCAAAGTTTGATTAAACTAATCCAGGGAAAGCTGTTTGTACGTAGTTATATTGTACCTAATTCTTTCTTTTCACAGTTATTTCACCATCAAGTGTACCACTTTTGGGAGTAGAAGTTTATAAATCTTACTTTTTCCAATAAAACAACAACAACAACAATATAAACTAAAAAATGTGCAAAATAAAATGCAACATCAAAGAGCAAAATTCCAAAATAAAATTAAATCAAGCACAGTTGTACAGCTTGGTCAACATTATTACCATGAAAATATGATAATTTAACCCAAGATCATCCAATTGAGTGTAGTCCTGAACAGCTACAGCTGTTGGGGATCCAGTGACTGGCATTTCTAAAATGTATAAAAGAAATCAACAGGATTGAACACTAAATATTTTATTGTTGACTTCTGAATAAATAATATTGGTTCTTCAAGACCAAGCAAATAAAATCATTTTTTTAAGGGATGCATTCAGCATTTCTGTTGAACTTTGTGTGAATTAGACATTTTACATTAAATACTTGCAATCGCCACTTTTTTGTCTCAAAGACAGCTGAAATGCTTTAAAATCTTTTTGGTTTCAAGAACAAAAATAATTTGATTGATTCCTAAAATTCCAACAGACATGCACTTGTTGTTGAAGTACTCATGATCAGAAAACTTAAATACAAAAACTGTGGTCATTATAAGTTTTCTCCTGGATTAGCATTTATTGACTTTGTTCAACTGTGTCACAATGTTTAAATCAATAGCCAAGTTCTGCTGAAATAATAATAATAATAACAATAATAATAATAATAATAATTATATGCAATCCATATTATTATTATTATTATTATTGTTATTATAATTATAAGGTTGTTATTATAGTACTTGTTAGTGCAGATATGCAATTCCATATTGTACCCATCAAATTTCTTACCACGTTGATCTATTCAAATGACTGTCTGACTTAATAATTGAATGGGATGACTGTGATGACAAGGATAACTAACATGACTACTGTAACTGGGATGACTGGAATTACTGGAATAAATAACATAACTGGGATTACTAGAATGACTGCTATGACTGAGATGACTGGAATGACTGGGATGACTGGGATTTTTGGGATTACTAACATGGCTAGGATGACTAGGGTGACTCAGATGACCAGAATGACTGGGATGAATAAGATTACTGAGATGACTGGGATAACTGGAATGACTGGGAACGACTGGAATGACTGCTGACTGGGATGACTAAGATGACAAAGATGACTGGGATTTTTTGGGACTACTAACATGACTGGGATGACTAGGGTGACTTGGATGACTGAAATGACTGGGATGACTATAGTGACTAGGATGACTAGGATAACTGGGACGACTAGGGTGACTAGGATAGGACAGCTGGGGGGTTTGACCAATTCACAGTGGCCTTATTTTGGATTTGTATTTTAATGGTATAGTTGGTAGGTTGCATATCTGTGCTGACTCGTATATTCGTTTTCTGTGAACTTGATGAGTGCATTTCAAATCTCTTCTTGCTTCAACCAGCAATTTCCCTGCATGGAAATATGTCTGAGGAATGACTGAATACACTTCACATTGATGGTGTGCAGTGCAGTGCTTCTCGCTGGGTGCTAATTATTTCAACGATTACAATAGTTATACAACCAACCATCTCATCTGCCAACCTAAGACAGCATTTGATGGGGGGGGGGGGGGGGGGGGGGG